GCTCTCCTTGCTAGAACCACCTTTAGATAAATAAATTTTAACTCACCTTGATTTTTCACCGATACTATTGTGATAAGAGTAGAGAAAAATAATTTGTCTTGTCAATTGGATTCTCAAATAATTGAATCAGCCTGTGTGGACTTTTGACAAGAAAAGAGAATTATTTAAAGCTTAAGATACAACTGTGATATACTGTAGTGTAAATAGTTTTTGTACATACGTTTGACTTGTTTTGAATATATTATTTTAAAACAAGTGGATTGTGTGAGTCCATTTATTGTTCGAATTTATCGCCAACAAGTCACAGACACCAACTGTAAAGAATTTAAGCCCATATACATAAAACCCTGACACCAGAGATGCAAATTCTGAAACTTACTTATAAAATGCTAACATGCATCCAGTAATTGACATGTTCATAGGAACCTGGGCAGACATTCGTCCAATCAAAAACATTTTCTCTCCAGTATCTGGATGAAATGCAGAGTCATACACATGTTTGGCATGCCAGAGATCATCTTCAGTTAAACCTGGCATTTCATTTCCTTTCCTGGCAAACAAGTTTAAGTCCAAATAACATTACAGCTTATAAATCATAAACTTTAATAAAGACTGGATACAGTAATGCACTTATAACAAGTTTTTAGGAAATCAGAAATGGAAACATAATGCTCTTTTTTTTAAAACTTACGGAGCATTTGTATAATGTAAACAACACCTAGGAGCACTTTTCTTCCACTAAATCTTTTTAATCTGTATAATCATAACAACTAGGTAGTTTGAAATTATAAATCATGTGAATCCATCATTTCTTGATGCACTTCATGTGAAATTATTCATAGCTTGATTGCTAAAGATTTCTGTTAGTGGTCATGAAAAAGTAGGTGCAAACAAAGAAAATTTTCCATGTTTTAAACCAATTTTTGAATTTCAATTTATATATCAAAAATATTAAAACTTTTGTGAAACTCTTTAAAATACAAGGAAAATGACCAATCAAATCTCTCCCGTTTCTTAGGTTAGTGATTATTTAGATGATAACATCCATACACATTAAATTTAGTACCAACAATCATATTTCCAAAACATCTCATTTGCTTAACAAGTGTGATGTCTTTCCTTCATAATTTTCTACAAGTTGTTTTAAAGATATTGATATCAGCAGTAAAAGATAATTCTTAATTTGATTCTCTCCCCAATGTATTCTAGACATTAAAATGTGCATGTAAAATAATTCTTTTTAAAGAATAGAAACTTGTACATACAGTAACATATAAATAATTTTAAAATGTTTGCCAAACTAATTATATGTAATGAAATTTATGCAATATCACACTTAAAATGTTCTGAAATAAAGAAAAAACAAAAACTAAACTTACTAAAACACAGTTGAATTGTACCTGACACATACTAATTATGTAATACTGTTATAAGAAGCCACCTGAAAAAGTTTACATACCAATATCTGGTAACAATGTCTCTAGCATTCTCTAACTCGGAAGATGTGCAAAGTAAATTCAAGGGGTTAGTAACTGTAAAAAAATGCTTAGCTCGACCCCAGTAGGTACTCTGGTCCCAGCGTGGCTTGTCAATGTTAATACGTCCTGCTAAGCCACTCATTTTCATTTAATTAATATATCCAAGTTTCTGAAAAAAACAAAAGAAAGATTTCCCATTAAATGTCAGAATCCACTTTTAATTGGTTCAAACCACTAATCCATATATTTACATGAAAATACTATGAGTTATAAATAAAAAAAAATTATAAGTTGTAAAGAACATCACAGCCAGGTTTATTTTTCAGCAAACTATAGTTAAAGCTTTTATTACAACTACTATGTAATATATTTGTGTGGATATACTATACTATGCACAGTAAACTTAGTTTATCTTACAGTGGTGATATCATTATACAGATATAAAGGACAATATTTAAATAACATAACAACAAGGGACCATTTGGTCCTTCAAGGCTCTCCTTGCTGAACCACCTTTGATAAAATAAAACTTTAACTCCACCTTTTATTTTCATAGATTATAAATTTTTCTTTTAAATTTATTGTAAAGTGCCAGCCTCCACTATTGTTGACACTGAAAGCAATTCATTCCACAACTTAATTAGTAATTGTAACTGTAATTAGTACCTGTCTTAACTGGAGCCTGATCTGTCTTTTATAAATGTTAAATTTTTGTCCTCTTCTCCTATTGTCTTTGGAATAAGAATATTTGTCTTTATCTTAACAATACACCAGTAAATGTTCTACACTTCAAAATCACGTTTAATCCTTCTTTTCTCAGGAGAAAATAATATTAGATATCTTAACCTAAACCAATAATTTTATAAGATACAACATTATAAGATAACCATTCCCTCCGCAGAAGCATCCTAACAACATAGGATTAACAAAACTCCTACAATTATATAAATCCTTTTAATTAGCCAAATATTTTCTTACACGTTACAATTTACTATTTAGATAAAAATATGAGTGTTAAGGCGTTTATCATTAATGGTACAACTGGCATATTTATGTGTTATTTCAATTATTTATCGGGTTAGGCGTTGATGATTCATATTACATTGTTAATTATTTGATACTAATTTACTGTAGATAAAAATTAATATTTCAATAAAGTTTCATAAACCTTTTAAGTTTCATAAAGATTCAACTTCCAGCTTCGAGTTCAATGTCGACCTAATCATCCTACTATTAATGATATATTTTTCAAGCTTCGTTTCGCGCTTTTACAATAAGAATTATCTTAAATAAAACTTAATATGTACCAAGTAACTTTTAACGAATTGAAAATGTATTTTCTTACCACTGGTAAACCTGCTATATCAACATCTAAACTGAAAACAGTAGTGCAGTGTAAATTTGTTCAACAAACGATAGATCACCTTGATATGTAACGCTCTTTTCGCTCTAGGATATGGCTGTAGTGGATTCAACATTGATGCAATAATTAAAGACAGGTGAAATAAACTACCGTTTTTTTTCTTAATTCCTTTTCTTCCTCTTTTCAGTACTTTATCTATTATTCGTAAAATGATTTTAATCAAAAAATAACGAATAAGAAAGTATTCTGGTTACATTTCCATAAAACACTTCATTAATTCGATATAACTCTCTAGAATACCACAAGACTAGAATAAAACATTTTGAAAATAGATTAATCTTATATATATGTATATATATGGCATTATTATTTGTTCATTTTAAAGCAGAGCCACAAGTTATCTGCTACGTCCACCGCGGAGAATCAAACCCCGGATTTTAGCATTGTAAATGCGTAGAATTGCCGCTGTCCCACTGGAAACTAAATAAAATAGAGAAAATAAAAGAGTAATTAACTTCTCTGTGGGTATTTAGAAATCAAAATTATGTGATTTTGTAACTATAAA